AAATAACAGTACCACTATAGGGCTCTGGTGGCCATGCAAAAGGATCTTGCAGCGCAGGCGAGACACAAAAATGACCTAAAAATAATATATATCAGCGACATACAGTTGTGTTCAAAATAATAGCAGTCAGATATCACTAACCTGATCAATCACTGTTTTTGGTAGAAATGATATTTCTACATGGCAAATAATTTACTAACAGGTGTACTAGAGTAACAGAAATCCAACAGACCCAACAGTCATGACATGTATGCTGCTGATTCTGTGTAATTGAATCACTAATTGAAAGGGGCATGTTCAAAATAATAGCAGTGTGGAGTTCTATTAGTGAGGTCATTCATTCTTTGAAGAACAGGTGGCAATGATTGCCCTTATTTAAGGAAGGAATGCAGCAAATGTTGTACATGCTGGTTACAGTGCATTTCTCTCTGCAATTCTGAGGAAAATGGGTCGTTCCAGACATTGTTCAGAAGAACAGCGTACCTTGATTAAAAAGTTGATTGGAGAGGGGAAAACATAAAGAAGTGCAGAAAATGATAGGAGGCTCAGCTAAAATGATCGCAAATGCTTTAAAATGGCAACCAAAACCTGAAAGATGTGGAAGAAAGCGAAAAACTACCATTCGAATGGATAGAAGAATAACCAAAATGGCAAGGACTCAGCCAACAATCAGCTCCAGGAAGATCAAAGAAGGTCTAAAGTTACCTGTGAGTACTGTTACAATTAGAAGACACCTATGTGAAGCCAAGCTATCTGCAAGAAGCCCCTGCAAAGTCCCACTGTTGAAAAAAAGACGTGCTGAAGAGGTTACAATTTGCCAAAGAGCACATTGACTGACCTAAAGAGAAATGGCGCAACATTTTGTGGACTGATGAAAGTAAGATTGTTCTTTTTGGGTCTAGTGCCCGGAGACAGTTTGTCCCCAAACTCTGAATTCAAGCCACAGTACACTGTGAAGACAGTGAAGCATGGTTGCGCAAGCATCATGATATGGGGATGTTTCTCATACTATGGTGTTGGGCCTATTTATCGCTTACCAGGGATCATGGATCAGTTTGAATACATCAGAATACTTGAAGAGGTCATGCTGCCTTATGCTGAAGAGGAAATGGGTGTTCCAACAAGACAACGACCCCAAACACACCAGTAAACGTGCAACATCTTGGTTCCAGACCAACAAGATTGTCGTTATGGAGTTGCCTGCCCATTCCCCTGATTTTAAATTCAATAGAAAACTTGTGGGGTGACATCAAAAATGCAGTTTCTGAGGCAAAACCAAGAAATGGAGAAGAACTGTGGAATGTAGTCCAATCATCCTGGGCTGGAATACCTGTTCACAGGTGCCAAAGTTGGTTGACTCCATGCAACACAGATGTACAGCAGTTCTCAGAAACAGTGCTTATACAACTAAATATTAATTAAGTGATTCAAAGGAAAGCAAAATCTTCAAACATTTTTCAGTTTATAGAGGGAATGTTTGAGTTTGTAAAGAAGAGTACAAACACTGCTATTTTTTTAAACAGTCTAATATTCACTTTTCTTCAATTTTTTTAGAGGAACAACACAAATGTGATATATTTTTCTTCATGTTTTGATTTGGAATAGAATGTGTAGTGCTCCCAATGCATTTGTGTGTATGGAAATAAAAGCTATTAGAAGGATTTTGAGCTTTATTCACTTTTTCAACACACTGCTATTATTTTGAACACAACTGTATCAGGAGAGTGTAGCAAGTCCAGATGTCCTAATCCACCTCAGAGCAGGAGGTACTAGGATTGGTTGACAGCAGGAACAAAGGGGTGGAGATGTTGGATCTGTGGAAGCAGTCTAAATGTGCCAAAGCCCAAGGTCTGTATTCCTATGTATCAGGCACAAGAAAAACGCAGTACTACACAATGTGTCTTTAAATTACAATATGGTGTTGAGCCATCAAAGTGCCAACCGAGCAAGAAAAAATAGAGAGATGGAGAAAAAGAAAAAGGAAGTAAGAAAGAACAAAGGCAGGAATAGAGTCCACCCACGCGACAGGCTCCACCAAGCCAGCACAGAGAAAAAAAGCAATATTAGGACGTAGTTTGCAGGTAGCTAATCCATGGGTTCCAGACTTGCTTCAACTTGGTAGAGGTATCTTGCAGGATACTGACCATTTTCTCATTGATCGTGATCCATGAAAGTTTTCATTTCATTAAGTCCATTACCGGTTTCTTCCAGACAGTTGCGATCGCAATTTTGGCTGCCAGGAAAATGGAATAGATTAGGGTCTGAGCGAATCTGAAAACTCTAGCAATGGGTTCATTAAGCATCACAGTTCTATGGTTTTTAATAACATTAATCATAGTCACCGTGAAAATCAGGGAATTAACTCGTTCTCAGTACTTTCTAACCTTAGGGCATATCCACCATACATGGAACATTGTTCCCACTTTCCCACATCCTCGGAAACAAAGTGAGGAGGAGCCAGGGTACATTCTTGACAATCGATCCGGAACCAAATACCAGCCAGAGAGGACCTTATAGCCTGCCTCTACGAGGGAAGCATTCATAATGCCTTTGTGCATTCTAAGGAACCATTCTCTCTAGTCCTCCTCTCCTATTCCTCACCCATGTTCCTCTCCCAGGCAAGCATATATGGTAGTCTACCTGAAGTGGAAACAAACAATTTATACAGGTTCGAGATGCCCCCCCCCCCCCATTGAACCCCACCTCAAAAACATCTGCTTTCAAAAGCTGTTCGTGTGGTATCGTCAACAGTATTCCATTGTAAGGAGCAAATGAAATGGAGGATTTGGTGCAGAGTTCAGTTGCGGGCATCGCAAACTGTTATAAGAAATAAGTAGTGGGGTGTATCCCTCTATGGTCCAGGAAGTGTCCCACCTGATACAAGCCTTTATTTATCCAGGGGGAAACTCCGGATTGCCAAATATTGGTGCTACCGGGGAATGGGGGGAGTGAAGAGCCACTTGTTTGCGGGTAGAATCTCAGAGATGCAATAAGTGGGACAGCGTGGGACAAAGAATAGCCCTCCTTTTCTTAGGGTAGATCCACATTAAAAGATTGATGGGGAGAGGTACACAAGCCTGCGCCTCTAACACTATCCATTCTGGTCAGTAAGAAATGGCATATATTTGGGACAATTGGGTTATCTGAGCCGCTTTATAATATTTCCTGAGATCTGGGACCCCCAGCCCACCAGAGTCTCAAAAAGTCTATAACGTTCGACGTTCTGTGGCTCCTAGTGTGTTCAATATATTTAAACATATATCAATGACACCAAAAGCTGTTGATGTTCCTCAAACAAATAATAGCTTGAACAGATTGCTAACAGCAGACACTTTTTATTTTAAATCAGGTGTATAGAATGTACATACATGGAAAATTTTGAAATGCACAAAGCAAAAGTAGTAGTTTCCATTATGGTTGGCACCAGAGCCCTAAAATAAATAAAGAGTGAAAAACTGCTTAACTAGGTCATCCATTTTAGTAAATGTTTTTAAATGTAAATACCACCTCATGTAGAACCAAAAGAATCAAAATCTTGTGTGATTATTTCCAAATAAACACATTTTTTTCACCAAGTAATTGTAAGGAGCTGTGGGCCAGACGTCTTTCTACTTTTAAAGATCATAAGTGTGAAAATTACTCTGTTGCTACATGAAGGGATTAAAGAAATCGGAAATCTTCTTTAAATGATTTCATAGTGCATTAGTCTTCATAATGCACAGGTATTTCACTTGTATGACATAATAAGAAAAAACTAGATTCAAGTGTTTAAAGCCTTGTTTTTTTAAATTATAAACATGTCATACTTATCTGCTTTGTGCAATGGTTTTGCACAGAGCAGCCCCCCGATCCCCCTCTTCTCAGGTCCCCCACTTGTGCTTCTGGCTCCTCCCCCTTGCCAAGTGCCCCTAGAGCAAGCTGCTTGCTCTGGGGGCACTTGTGTGTGCACGCTCCTGAGACACTTCTGTGTGTCTATGGGACACACAGAGCGTGGCACAATCCCACCCCCCCTCTTCCTCCTCACTGGCTGTTATTGACAGCAGTGGGAACCAATGGCAATGGCTACTGTGTCTCAGCCAATGAGTAGAGAGAGTCCTGGGAGAGTCACTGCTCTTGTGAACATCGCTGTTTCGAGACAGGGCTCAGGTAAGTATTGGGGGAGCTGCGGGGGGAAGCGGCACCCTGAAAGATTTTTACTATGCATGAAGGTAAAAAATTGTCAACCTCTAGAACCACTTTAAGAAGCCCAAAGGGTCTATAAGAAGTACCACTGCACTACAGCCTGCCCTATAAGTTTATTCTGTGTCCTTAAAATATTTCATGTTCTGCAGGATGTTTTCACAAGCCATAAAAATACAGAGCAGTATGTAGGGCCTATTTTAAAAGACAACATTACTCCATAAATTGCTACCATGAATAATTACTACTTTTGCGAAATGTGTCACAAGAAATACGGCTGAACTTTTCACCTAGCTAAAAAGTTGTTTTGGGCAGTTTTTTCTATTTCTGCTTTAAATATGAGTAATATGAGTTATTTTTTCATCAAACTGATATTTTTGTAAATGTATAATGAATTTCTGCCTTTGAAAATGTCACAGTTAATTTGTATCACCAGTTTGTTATTTTCAGGAAATTAATGAGAAGAACCATTTTATAAAGTGGCAATTTTTTTATGTCATTTTGACGGGTTTTTTTTGTGCCTATGTGTCTATATTCCACTAGTTCATCCCTTCAACATAATAAGTTTCCATTGCAATAAAACTTAAAAAAGATTTAGCATAAAAACAATATGCAATGTGACACGTTAAACTCATTTTTTTTTCTCAAGCTTTTATAAATAGGCCTTGATCTGGGTATTTATATATCAGGCAGAAACATTGACTGGTCATTAAACTTTACCTATGAAGCTTTTATTCTAGCTTATGTCTAGCTGTAAGGTAACTAAGACTGGATACAAAAAAGTCTGCATGAGATAAATATATTAATACATTATTTTCTCCTCAGGGAAAAAGAAATAGTGTGTTCAGAGAATGTTACACAGGAATCCAAAGGCACTGTAAGCTCACAAAACTGTGCCCTGCCATGGGATACACATTTAGAGTGGCAGCACGCAATGATATTGGGAAAAGGTTAGTTCTGTAATTTAAAAAAACCAGATTGCTTGCTATGGATTATTGTACTTTGCACATTATCATAATTTTTTGCGCAGCCTTAATAAAAATCCTAAATATTCAATTTATTAGTTAACATTTGCAGCAAAGAGACTATGTGAATGGTTGTCAAAAAATGTTAGAACTTCTTGTACTTAACAGAATTGCTGGAACATTTTTCAAGTAAGCATGCTGCAGAATTCTGTTTCCCCCCCCCTTTTTTCAAAACATTATTACATTGTAAGCGTCTGAAGGGATCATCATAGAATGGGGCAGATTGGTTGAATTATATCTAAAGTCACAACCTTTTTTTTCATGTTGGATAGAGTAGGGGAGGATTAAAACCACAGTTTTTTTGCTTTCTGTATCTCTGTAGGGTGATTTCCCCTCCCGCCCTGTAGACTCAAAAGGATTTGAAGAGGATATCCTTCCAATGTGAGGGAAATATCCACTTAGACAGTTGTCATTGGAACAAGTGTCCCCATTGGAAGATCTACTCTATTCCTGTTGGTTTCTTTTCAAAATGTTGGATTTACCCTCACTTTCCTTCCCAGTAACACTGATGACCAGGAAAATTAGACTGGAAATTCCCTACCCATTCATTGGATCTGGAGCGGGTAGTTAGCATGTCTTCCTCCTCAGCCTCCTGTTGTTTTTGTAGTGACTAGTGAGACACGTTTTATGGTGCACATTTCAGCAATAAATAAAAACAAGACATCTCCTAGCCTGAATATTGGGCTGGAGTGAGTGAACTATTGCTGTGTGCCTGGCTGCCTCTACACTAACTTTGAAAAATAAACCTGTGGAAACCAGTGTGCTTTTGGGGGACACCACCAGGCGAAATGCATGTAGAAGCGTGATCCCATCACTTCCGCATTCATGCGACGTCACATCTGTCCCGCCGTAAGCGAGGCTTGGAACGCATGCTGGCCATCACCATTGGAAATAATACAAACACAGGCTGCATAGACTGGTGCCGGTCTCTGGGCACCAATACATGTGAGTGCATAGGATATTATATCTATCTAATTTTCAATAAATACTACACTTAGAGCAATTTAATTTATTTGGTTTATTTGAGCTGCTTATCTTGAGGAGAGCCTGGGATTGGTAATCCATCCACAATTTGTATACCCAGAGTCTTGTGATCACTCAACTGGGGGCAATCATCTTTGACCCCCTGGATCCACATCTCATATTAGGAAACCAGGAGGCCTGATCCAGGAGAGTTTGCTGCTGGTCGTCAGTATTTATGATCACAAAGCGCTATTTGACCACCTTAACCGGGGTCAATTTTTTCTGGTGAGTGAGGAATTCACTTATTGTCTGCACATGGTGAACAAGGAAATTTTTGGTCTGTGGGACTACATCTTTATGGGACTGTCACTAAATATAGACTTTTCATCTTATTGTGTCAAGGATTATTATTTGTTTTATGTTATTGCTACTTAATTTTATTTTTGTTTTATGACATATTTTAGCGCCTACCTATTCACGTATTTATTTGTTATAAGTGTTTTTACTATTTAGGGGCAGCTGTTAACATTGCCGGCTTAGTATGGGCATTATTCACTATTGTTTGATTTATTCAGCTATCTAGGCGCCAAAATATTGCTTTTTCACATAACAACAAAAACTACCTGACAGTGGTTCTAACCCCTCAGCACTCAATCTTAATCTTTAAAAAAAATTTTCCTTTTGTTATACTTTAAGGAGAAGTGACTTGTTGGTAGTATAAAAAACAGCAAATATGTACAAGCTAGTACATACACTTTCCAGCACTCTCAAGGCACAGTCAGGATTCATCTGTGTTTTCCTTTTCAGCGGCATGGCTTAATTTTTTCTCCTACCAAACTTTGATCAGCAGTTGGCCTTATGCTTTATACATGGTCAGCTGTCAGTTTTAGCAGCCTTCTTTCTCTCATCACTGTCTTTTATTCACTGGTTGACACCTCTGTTATGTTTGTGTCTCCTCCGGTGAGACTCCCCCAATGTTGCCATGGGACCTGAACTTGGTGCTTTCTGTCTTGCAAAAAACACCTCTTCTGAACATTTAGAAACTTTCTTTGCTAATCCTTTCAAAGTAAGTAACCCTTTTGGTGACCAAAGGTAGTGTCTGCTGGTCATCGTAATGAGGATATTATCCTTATTTCCCAACATACCCCTAACAAATAGTGCTGCATTGCTTGCATGTCATTAGAGCCAAGCATATTTAATTTTCTGCCACGGTCTCATTTAGTGAAACCGACTTCCATTTTGCAGTCACGAAGGGTGATAGGAGGTCTCCTCAGACACTATCTAGAGATAGATTAGAAAGAGAAAATAGGAATTTTTGTACTTACCATAAAATCTTTTTATTCAGCACCAGAGCCCTAAAATAAGTAGGACACAACACCCATCCCTCTGGTTGTTCTCTCTGTGACAGCTTGTTTTGTTTATGTGCTTATTTGTGGCTAACTGCAGCCTCTAGCAGATTGAGGCTTTGGCTACCACCAAAGGCCACCACAGGCTTTGCTTTTGTTTTATATGCCTTAAGTTCTTAGGTTAGGATGGAGGGGCAAAGAGTGGTTAGACTCCCTGTTGAGTTTTCATTGCTGTCCATGTTGCTGCTGGAGCATTTCTGTATGTGTCCTTGTGACCATGATCACTTAGACAGAAAGGGATAAGAAATCCAAAATGTTTGAGTTGTCTCCAAAACCAGAAGTGAAGGAAAATCCTTCAACTGGACACATGACAAAATGTGATTTCTGTAGATCTCCTTTCATTTCCTGTTTCATCTTCAGGACAGAAAGGGGATCCAAACAGTGTGTTTAAAGTTGTAAAGTATTGGCCTTTCATTCACTTGATTGCTTGAACTCTATGCAAAAATTAAAACCCACCACACAGAAGTACATGTAATGATGAAAGATATAGCTCATCTAATAAGCAGCTGCAGGGCAAAAACATATTGTTGGAACTGTCCTGTTTAAAGAGTAAGGTCACCTTTCTCAACATGTTACATGTTACACTTCAATTTAGGGTGTAACATCCAACAGGTTGAGCATCCACCACCTCACCCCCTGATCCGCCCCCTCTCTGTGACAGCCAACGGGGACCTTCTCCCTGTACCCACTGTTACAACTTTAAAACAGTGCAGCTGTGTGTGACTCCACCCACACAGCCAAGTCACTCATTCACAGTTCTGTGAACGAATGCCTGCACGTTCCGTCAGCCATTGTGGTTGATGGCTTGTAGTCCTCAATGAACTGTGAGGGTACTGGGTGGTCCATTGAGGATTTCAGTAGCTGCCTACCCACATCAGAGGTATGGGCAGACAGTGTACTGACAATCTGAAGGAGCCTGGCATTGCACCCGCAATCTGCTTATTACAGGTGCAATGTTTTACAGGCTCCCAAGAAAAACAATAATGAATGCACATTTTTTTACCTGCAAAAAGAGTGCATTTATTATTTTTTTTAAAGGTGAACTCATCTCTTAACTGTTCACCCTGTTACTTGGACTGGATTGTTTAATTGCCTTGCTGTGCTAAATGTGAGAAGACAATACCATTGCAAATATGGGAATCAAGATTTTCTTTAAAAAAAAAACAAAAAAAAAAAAGTTGTATGTTACAGAGGGCTTTCTCACACTAAAATGACATGAAGTTAGGGTTTCATACACGTTAGATACATTTTCCAATGTGCTAAATTTACTCTGTAAGGAAAAATATTTTTCAGCAAATCAATTCAATGTAACAAATGCAAAAAAACAAGAAAGGATTCATTTAGTAGAAATGTATTTTTACATGTAAGTAAATATTGACATGCCAGTCAAGAAAGTGCGTGCTTCTTTGATTGTTTTTTTGGGGAAAGGTGGATTTCTTTTGCTAAATGTACATTTACACATCCTAAGCTTAAATCTGTGGTAACCAACATAATTAAATAAATAGTTTACACAGCATGGAACACTACTACATCATAGTAAACATCTTGCTTATTGACGTCTCTGTCTATTCACAGCGAGTACAGCCAAGAGGTTGTGTACTACACATCAGGCAATATCCCTCAGATGCCCTCCACACCTAAATTTATTAGAGCTGGAATTACGTGGATAACGCTGCATTGGATGAGGCCAGAGGGATGTTTCCCAGAAGAAGTAATTTCATACACGTTGGAGATTCAGGAGGATACCGTACGTTTCTTGTTTTGATTGTCTCTTGTGCTAGAGAAGTGGGAATTTTTCAATGTCTTGCATTAATAAATGCTGTTCTCTATTCAGTTGTCCTATGCAGTATAAAGACATACATTTTTTTGGTGCTCTAAAGCTGTGTACCAGCACCAGGGGTGCTGTTGGAAATCACAGGGTCTTGTAAAGCCTGACACCCCCCACAAGAATATCAGAACAATATTTTTGGTAAAAATACATTAAAATAATTATCGGACACAAACACAACATAACTATCAAAATTCCTGCTAAATCTAAAAGATAAAACTGTATTGAATAAATAAAGCTCTGTGTGTGAATAAGTTCTTTAGATTCATTCACATGGGTGCTGTGGCCTGTATATTGTAAATTATTGTTTTCTTCATGTGGCTGGAGCTGTGTGTAGGCAGCCTATGTTATGCTTTGGGGATGCAGCAGCTATGTGAACACAACCGCAGGTCCTAATTTGACAATTGTGTGGGTGCAGGTTTATGGCCCCCCTCAGACAGTGTGTTTTCAGGGCTACTCACCTACGCTTGCACAGCTGTCAGATTAAGACCTGCAGCTGTGTTTGTACAGCTCCTGTGTCCTCATAGAGAAACAGACAGCTCCAGCCACACAAACAAACTGCTCATGCACACCGAATGGGCCAGAGAACTCGTATGAATGAGCCCTTTTATAAAATTATTTTAAAATGTTTTTGTTTTTACAATTTTTTAATTATTTTTGTTAACATTTTTCATTTATTTTTTTACAAGGCTGTTGGGGGCTTTGGTGAAATATCAGGGGCTTAAACTTTTGAGTTTTTGCCTCACTTTTGAGACAGAAAAAGAGGCTGTGGACATACATTTATCAATCCCTTTCTCTGTAGCCTCAGCTGCACTGGACAGTAAATGAACAGAAAGCACACTGTACAGAGGCTCTATTTATTCACCAACTGAAGCATAATAAACACCGTTTACAGTTCCAGTAATTGCCCTCCCCCCACTGCACCAGTCACTCTCCATGCCCACATCTGATTCACCCTGATGCCTTAACCTCCCTGCTGGCCCAGGCCCCATAGAGGAGGACCAGTGATACCCCCTTATCAGCAGCCCTGACCGGCAGTTCATAGCCATGAGCAGGTGAAGGAGGCTGTATTCATCTATGCCCTGCTGTTTGCACATAGTAATGAATGTGCACAGATGTCATGCCCCAAGCAGAGAAGTGTGCACTCAGGACATGACGTCTGTGCGCACACGCTACTTTAAGCAAAAAAAGCGTTGCATTGCTTCATAGAGCCATCTTTACCCATTCATGCCTATGGGCTGCTGTACACAGCTCCAGGACATCCCTAGCACCAGAAATATACAGCATCTTCATGCTGCAGGTGCAAATGTTCATGAAGCATTCATCTGGCTAGCTAATGAAAAAAAAGTAAACCCCACCTCCCTTAACACATGCCAAATATGATATTAACTAGTTCCTGTTGGTACAGCTACCAGTGCCATAATAATATTTGATAATATGGTGCATGATGTACCATGTGAAGCACCATTATGTTTTCTTGTTCACCAACAGCCTTTAACGTGTATATATTGTATGTATGATGTGTGTTAGGGAATATAAAATAAAAAAAACTAGTCAATGCAATTTTGCATAATGACTGTCTTCTAGAGGCTAGTCTTAAATCGATTCTGTACTGGGTGTGAAAGAATCTAAGGTAGAGGCTGCTGTGTATGCACCATAAGATGTCTGCAAACGTCTTCCTTGCACTTATCGCTATCAGAGCCTTCCAAAAATTGATTGCAAATTTTTGAAAGTCAAAGCTAAGCATGCCGTACCCCACCGCTGTGTGCCTGCATTAAGTCTGGTGATTGGCCACTTACATACTGAACACTCAGTCATGAGGTGGCAGGATGGAATGTCAGGGGGTTTGGATCTCTTGTAATGGATTGAGTGGTGGAAGGTGCAATGGAAGCTATGGGCTGGCACCTTATAGTGAGTACACAACAGGTTCTGCCTTTGCATCACTACTAATAACCAAGGGCTCATCATCATCTAGAATTAGATAATGCAGTTATGTCAGTCTACCTTGAAAGCATAAGTTTAGTATAGCATTGAAGTTTGCTTTGCATGTGTACACTGTTTTCAATTGAGTTGAATAAGTGCTATATCAGGCCCTTTAAATAAACCTCTCCTGTTCTCAGTCATGTTGTACTGCTGCTTGCCAGCCTTCTTCAAGCCTGCTATCCCTTACCTCTGTTTGTCCTCTCTTGCCATCTGTTCTGCTGTCTTCTGTCTTGTTACCCGTTGTCTGCTTTTTGTGCTCCCCTGTCACGTGTTTCACTGTTTGCAGCCTTCTGCAGATTTTGTGAGACTCAACAAATGCACAAGGAGAAAAAAATCGTATGCAATTAAAAGAAAAAATCCTAATGTGACATTTTGCATCCTCTGTATGTTATGCTTTTAGGACAGTGTATTTCAACCTGCATACACTGGAGAAGAATTAACATGTACTGTGAATAATCTCCAAAGAAGCACACAATACAAATTTAGGGTAAGCTGCTATTGTTTGCCAGCAGAGGGTGATATTCTGTATGTTTTCTTCTGTGCTGTAAATGTGCTAACGTTTTATGATACAAACATTGCAGAATACATTATTAACACATTTATACAGTTCTATTTGTTTCCAGTGAAAGATAAAGGAGTTCTGGGCAGTATGATTTAATTGTATCTCTACAGCAGGGGCGAACTGACCATTAGAGTACTCGGGCACATTCTGAGGGCCCAGGGTCAGTAGGGGGCCCCATGAAATGCCCCTGGTACCTTTTTTATAGGCTTTTTTTGAGTGTGGGCAAGGACACAGGGGCCCCATGATCCCCTATTGCCCGGGGGCCCCATTAGTTGTCAGTCCACCCCTGCTCTACACAGAAAGTTTTCACACAACAATATTAATTGTGTGAAAACTGTCACACAAAGTAGTGCCAAAAACAAGGTAATACTTTGTCATTCACACATGCCAGGGCAGCTTGATCTCTGTAGAAAGACCAAAACTCTCCAAAACCCATGCCAGATCTCAAGAATGCTACAAGGATTTGTGTTAGAAAAGACCAACTTCCAGATTAATAATGTTGGTACATGAGATTTCAAGTGCAACTGCTTTGCTAACTTTAAAATGCATCTAAACCCAAGAACAATCATGTAATACATTGCTGATTAGTAGCCCCTTCAATGTAATAGCTGAATTTGCTTTCTTTTATTACTTAAATCTTTATAAAATTTTCAGCAAGTACAGAAACACACACGTTGATTCTGCCAGAAATCCAGTGTCCTAATTTCCTGTGCAAATGAAATGGACTGAAACCTCAAACACTGTTGTCCGCTTTCCCAGCTATCTTTTAAGAACTGCAGAACAACCCACCATAACCATGTTATGGAATTGAGGAGAGGGAGAGGTTATCTGTAGTCATAGCACCTTTCCTGTATTTGTGGGAGAGCACCACTCCTTAATAAAAACACTACTGTTTGTGTTGTCACCCAAGAACAGGATTTGTGTTACAGTATCACCAGGTGAAAATAATGGGGAAAATTCATGGGAAAATGAAATTGATTGGAGCCACCACATCAAGGTACTAGGTTTTCTTGGGTTTAGATATACTTTAAGATGTCAATTTGATATAGCAGTATTAGCACTAGCTAAATGAGAAATAGATTTATGATTGTAAATGTCTCTTACATTACAGGTATACTTGTAAAAAGGCTGCAGCCTACTGAAATTTACCTAGGTTTCAAAGCGACTGTAAACATATCTATGCCTATATCTTATCTTACCTATATGGCTCGAAACATCCCGCCCCCCCACCACCAGCACCACACTTCCTCGTCACAGAAATTTGATTGACAGCCAATGGCTTCCGCTGCTATCAGTCTACCTTGTGAGGAGAGAAGAGAGTCACTGCTCTCGGGCACAGCGCTGGATTGAGATTGGGCTCAGGTTTATTATAAGGTGGGAACTGGTGAAGGGGGGGGGGGGGGGGTGATCCTGCAGCACATAATTTACTACAAAGAATACATTTAAGTAAAAATCCTTACACCTTTAGAACCACTTTAAGGGGGGTCTTTCAGGTTTGGCTGGCTTGAGAGGCACAGGGATCTATATAGAAATCATACATTTCCATGTACACGTGCGTGAGGACTTCTGCTAAGAGTTAGACATACAGGCTGCACTGCTTTTCTCACCACTATGCAATGTGATCATTGTTACAAATGTAGGCTGTGCTGAGTGCTTTATATTCAGTTTAAATTGGACTACACAGTCTACCACTTTGCCCACAAAAAAATGTGAAAGTAAATTGTACCTAAAACACTGGTTCAAATGTTGTCCTTTGGTAAAAATGTCCCTTGGGAGCCTATGGAAACAAATAAGATGCCTCTGTACTCTTATTAGATTTGTGGCATAGCCTGTTTTGATCCTCATTATAGTTTATCAAACCTGCTACAAAATGATGGTTTAAAGAACATTTTCTGGCTCAGTCCTCATGCACACTGGACTTTTTTACAGCTGCTGTTTTTGGCTTTTGACATTTTTTTCTAGAGCCAGTAAACCCCCCCCCCCCCCCCCCAGCATGTTATCCTATGTGTTCATGAACACATAGACTGTAATCAACGTGTTTTGGCAGGGGTGTTTTTTGGCTGGAAAAAAAACCCAGGACTAGTGGGTTTCTAGAGGAGTTTTTAGCTGTAAAAAATGCTCTAACGCTGTAAAACGCCGCAAAACGCAGTAAATTGCGGCTAACCAGTGTTTTGGAGTTTTTCTGACGCAAAACAAATTTTTTTTGGGTAAAAGAAAGTGCTAAAAACCACAAATGCGAAAAAACTCAGCAAAACGCCGCTAAACGCTACTGCAAAAACACAAAAAACGCTAAAAAACTCACATTTTTAACATGACTTTACACAGCTAATGCTACCAGCATTATTAAAAGTGTGTATGGAGTCTTAGAATCCTGAAGTATCAAATATTATTTACATCCTGTTTCTAATATTTTAGCACAAAATTGGCACATAATAAAACACTGCAAAATAATAATATCACATAGAATAAAAAGCAATTACATGCATTTAAACCTTACAAACAGGACTTCTAGTTAAGTGCTATTTATATATGACAAGGTCATTTATGTCAGGTAAACAACCTTGTGTCTTTAGAACTACTTTAACATACACAAAAGATATAAATCCACTTTTTGTGCACCTTCATAGATGTTATCTTTACCTACATGCTGCCTACGAAAAACCACAGGTGGTTGCAGAGACAAGACCAGTCACCCTGCAAATGGAAAGAGAGCAGCAGTGGCTGGTCTTTGTACAGGAATCTCCTGCAGAGAAAGAACATTTTACACTGGAGTAATGCACAAATCTGGAAGAAATACACAAAGCACACAAAGAGTCAAGGAAGAGTACACATGCCGTTTGTATTAGGCATTATTTGCTTATCCCTGAGTTTAGCTTTAAGTGTGTGTGTGACTACTAATGTTACTAAATTAATTAAAATTGTATTACTTTATCAATCTGCATTACAATTTTTCGATTGATATTTGAAAGTTGTGTTTCATATATTCATCCCCTGTCTTTGTTACAGCTTATTGCCTCCAATGTTGAAGGAAGTAGCAGTCCAAGTGAAGTATTGGTCTGCACGACAAGTCCAGATCGGCCGGGACCTCCTTCTCGACCTATAGTAAAGGGCACTGTCACTGCACATGGCTTTACTGTTCAGTGGGGTATGTACAGTATTTACTCAATCAAAAGATAATATTTTCTGGGTATTGAATTGTGCTCCGATATAAAAAAGAGGTAAATGTAAAAGTTAAATGCTCAGCATACTATTTTGTAATGTATTGTATTGTATTTGCTCTAGAAATATCTTTACTCTAGTTCTGTAACAAAAAGAATAAAACTGCACAGTGATAAAGATGGATGGGGCATTTTAATAAATGTCTATAACTGCACAACATGTCTCTGGTGAAATGAATGAAATAGAGACTCATTGGTATTCAGACAGACATTGCTCTTATCATGCTCATAGATAAGACAAGCACAGTCATTTCTTAGTAGACTGACATTCTGGTTTCAAGTTTTTCTTGAACAATGCTATTCAAAAAAATGAAGCTTTAAAATAAATATGCTTTATGAAAAAAGGTTTACATTGTAAGGCATGCAATTAATCTAAGACTTGTGCTAAACTTTTGCAAACAGTTATACAGTTGTCTAAGTAGACCCTGAAGAGTAGGAGTCCATTCTGTCTGTATTTGCCTACTTTTACTGCACATTTGTTTGTTTTTGAAATGCTGGCTGCTAAATGTGCAGCAAAATTGAGGCAAATGTGAAAAAAGCATTGTGGGAATTCAGTGGAAATCCTCAGATTCACCAAGTATTAATGCCAAATATGTCTTTGAAAGCTTTTTGGTGACAGTAACATTTCTGCTGTATAGACCCAAAACTAAAAAAATGACAGATCTTGGTGATTCTCTTTTGAAGGGATGCGTTTGTTGACAAATATTGGTAACAAATCCTCTATCCGAATTGAATTATATTTCTGCATATATGGTGATTCTTGGCCAGTATAGAAAACAGTACTGCTTGCCTCTGCTGACACAATTCAGGACAGCACAAGTAGATGGTGTCTGGAAATACAACATATTAATACAATGTGCAGAATCATAGAACAGCAAGCACACTCTAAGTCTATGAACTTGAATCCTTCATCAGATTGTTTTCATAGGTGATCTTAGAAGAATACGAAAAAAATTACACGTCTTGCATGTTTCAGCTGTTCTTGAGAATTGCTGAATCTGCCATTCAGTCCTTCAATAATAGCCTGGTCTGTTGTAGTTTCCAGTATGCAATCTTATATAAAAATGCTAAACACCCCTTATGTTCCAACTGGGAAACAAGCCACTTGACTGTATTTTGGTGAATCTTTATTTCAAAGAATCACCAAAAATAACAAATATGGATTCAGACAAATGCACTTCTAATCTGCCAGTGATGCAGATGTTCGTTAAGTTAGTTTTGCAGATATCACCACTAGCAGAGCAACCACACAGTTAAAAACACCTTAATTGACACCTCCCCCCCCCCCGCCAATAATAAAAAAATTTACGTCAATCACATTGCAGGGTTTCCATTTTATTAGTATTAATATTATTATACAGCATTTATTTATTGCCAACAATTTTCACAGCAGTTTTACAAAATCAGGCAGACATTACAATTATCAATTGGTACAAGAGGAATCAAAGGGCCCTGCTCATTAGGGCTTGCAATCTAAGAAGGAGGGACAAGTAATATAACATAGTCTTTTTACTGTTACTATTAGCATGTTTCATATTCCTATTTTCTGCTAGATACTGTAAATGTAATTTATAACAATTTACTTTTAGTGTTCATTTTTTAAATTTCCTCTTCCGTTTAAACTTTTCTGTCTTTTTTATTTACTAATTTATGTATCAATAGTATGTTCAGGAAGAACTAAACTGCTTATCAACATCCTTCTTTCAGATGCTCCCGAGGACAATGGTGGCTCTGAAATACTGAAATACCTTTTGGAGATTTCTGAAGGGACGTTTGAAGGTGTGTTTAACTGCAGGGACTCCAATTATACTTCTAGTAACATTTTTCAGGTACAGGTAAATTGCATTTATCAAGAATAGACAAAGGACAAAGAAAAAAAGCTTTATACACTGTTGAAATATAATCTGGTACTGTGCAAAGTATGTGATAGAGTGATAGTATGTCAAAGATGTTTAACTACAGCTTCTTGCACTTTCTTTAGTCAAAAGGATATATTGCTAAGGCTTGACCACTGTTCTCTGGCATCAGTGATGTATTGGAACCTCGTGCTTTTTTTCCAGTAGGCACACAACCATTGGCACTCCAAAGCAGCACACTTTTGCTAGAATCACTTCTTTAAAAAAAAAAAAAAAAAAATACTTGTTTTACTGATCCTAACCTGGTTTAAAATAGAGGAACAACACGTAAATGAGCCTAATTTCTACTAATTATGGAAAAAAAATGTATAACTAAGTCTATACTGGGAAAATTCACCTTGGGCTACAGGCCTACTGTGACTAATTGTAAATTCACATCTTCATTTAATAGTATTATTTGCACTGAACCATTTTAAAAAAGTTTATCTTCAAAATGGTAGAAAGAAATAAAATGTATAGTTACCCACAGTAACAAAGTTATGAATTTGTTTTTAGTAGTTTAAAGATGAGAATTGACATTCATGAAATGTGTTCTATACATTGTTGCTATTTGTGCAAACAATTGTATCCCAGGTATGCCTCCATACCTAAATGTTGTCTGTATGAAAAACTAAATGGGGACAAAAGCCTAGGTTACATCAAAGCCTTCCTAAAAACTTGTATACAAATCAGAAGTATACAGCACAGAAATAAGCTGACTCTCTGAAAAAGTGTCAGAGCTCAATTATTATTCAACTATACTCCGTATTCTCTTATATTTATGTTTTACCGTCGTACAGTTAGGTACATATATATTTAGACACAGGCACAATTTTCATACGTTTGGCTCTGTATACCACCAGAATAAATTAAAATGAAACAATCCAAATTAATTTGAAGTGCAGACTTTCAGCTTTAATTCAAGGGGTTGAACATAAATATCAAGTACAAATTTTAGGAACTGCAACCATTTTTATACACAGTCCCTCCATTTTCAGGGGCTCAAATGTAATTGGACAATATAGTATAATCATAAATAAAATGTTAATTTTTAATATTTTGTTGAGAATCCTTTACTGGCAATGACTGCCTGAAGTCTGGAACCCATGGACATTACCAAAGACTGGGTTTCCTCCTTTCTGATTCTTTGCCAGGCTCTAACTGCAGCTGTCTTCGGTTGTTCTTTGTGGGTCTTTCTGCCTTTAGTTATGCCTTTAGCAAGTGAAATGCATGCTCAATTGGGTTGAGATCAGGTGATTGACTCGGCCATTGCAGAATATTCCACTTTGTTACCTTCAAAAGCTCCTGGGTTGCTTTTGCAGTGTGTTTTGTATCATTGTCCATCTGTACTGTGAAACGCCGTCCAATCAACTTTGCTGACAGTATATCTCTAAACACTGCAGAATTCATCCGGCTGCTTCTGTCTTCTGTCACATCATCAATAAACACCAATGACCCAGTGCCACTGGAAGTCTTGCATGCCTATGCCATCACACTGCCTCCACCATGTTTTACAGATGATGTTGTGTGCTTTGGAGCATGAGCCGTTCCAAGCCTCCTCCACACTTTTTTCTTCCCGTCATTCTGGTACAGATTGCTGTTAGTTTCATCCGTCCAAAGAATGCTTTTCCAGAACTGGTCTGGCTTTTTTAGATGTTTTTTTCAGCAAAGTCTAATCTGGCTTTTCTATTCTTAAGGCTTATCAATGGTTTGCACCTTGTGGTGAACCCTTTGTATTTGCTCTCGTGAAGTCTTCTCTTGATTGTAGACTTTGACAATGATACGCCCACCTCCTGGAGAGTGTCCTTTACTTGTCTGGATGTTGTGAATGGGTTTTCCTTTACCATAGAGAGGATCCTGCGATCATCACCACTGTTGTCTTCTGTGGACGTCCATGCCTTTTTATGTTGCTGAGCTCACCAGTGCTTTCTTCTTTCCTCAGAATGTACCAAACTGTTGATTTGGCCACTCCTAATGTTACTGCTATCTCTCTGATGGATTTGTTTTGTTTCTGAAACCTTAAAATGGCCTGTTTCACTTGCATGGACAGCTCCTTTGAACGCATGATGTAGGTTCACAGCAATAGATTCCAAATGTAAATACCACACTTAGAATCAACTCCAGACCTTTTACCTGCTTAATTGATGAAGAAATAACGAAGGAGTAGCCCACACCTGGCCATAAAACAGCTTTTGATTCAATTGTCAAATTACTTTTGGTCTCTTGAAAAAGGGGTGATGGCTACTCTTAAGAGCTGTAATTCCTAAACCCTTCCTCCAATTTTGATGTACATACCCTCAAATTAAACCAGAGAGTGTGCCATTTCAGCCCATATCCATTATATAGCTAAAGCTTGAATATGTTTTGGTAAATACCTGAAAAATCTAAAATTGTGCCTGTGTCCAAATATATATATAGACCTAACTGTACATAATAAAGATGTATAATTTGCAGGGTTTTTTTTTTTTTTTTAGAAATGTTGGTGATTGTAAACAAAATATCAAACTCAACACATTAATTTCAAATAACTGATTTAAAACTAAATAAAATGCTTTAATCTAAAAATGTGTGCTGGCTTATCTGAGATCATTTAAGTTAAAGAGTTATTTGATGGGCAATGTATATTCATTTTTACTCATTAATCTAAAAGCACAGGAAAGGACAGGGTGATGTTAGGGAGCACTGCACAAACAGATGAGACACAGTATAGTCAGGATGAAATACTGAGTGATAGTCACTTCTACCAATTACACTGTTACTATTGCTAGTGCACAGCTAATGAATTCCTAGAAAAAGGTCATTAGAAGTTAAAGTCTGTTCTCTATAGAGGTTTTACTTCAAGGAAAATAAAATTAAATGTAAACTAAAGAGAGCGAAAGATGTGCTCCATCAGCTCTCTTATTAAACAGATATATGGATGTCATTATCA